TAGTCGTAGTAGCAGTGGTGGTAGTAGTAGTAGCAGCAGCAGGAGGAGGAGGAGGACGAGCAGACACAGTCGCAGTGGTCGTGGCGGTAGTGGTCGTGAAAGGTGGTAGTGGTGGTGGCGGTGGTGCTGGTGGTCGTGGTCGTGGTTGTTTCTGTGCTCGTCGTCGCTATTGCTTCTGCTGGTGCTGCTGCTGCTGTTAGCATTCGCACTGGAGTTTATGGCATGTTTCGGAATCGTTTTACTTTGGCGATCATCGTGCAATGCGCAACCCTTGCGATCACAACACCCTTGAAGCGCCCAAGATCTGTATCTTCAGCCCGGAAAGCCGAAAAGAGCCTATGCTTTTGACAGGTGCCGCAGGTGTCTTACACAGACCACCATGTGGAGGTTCCCATTCACAAGCAGGCATGACAGCATCAGGGTTTGAGGTTAGGGAGCTTCGGGCTTAGGGTGAGGGCTTCAGGATGAGGCGGTAAGGATTTTAGGTCCCAATGCTTCCAACCCCACGCTGTAAAGGAGGCATTCTGAAAACTGCAAGCCTACCCTGTGCACCCTGAATCCGAATCTCTAAATCCCGAAGGAAAACGTACCGAAGACCCGAAACACCAAACCAGAAGTTTCTCCGGTAGAGGTAGATCGGGATGACGATCTTTGTGTTGTATTAGCAGTTCGGGGTATCACTCGAGAATCGTCGCAATTGGGTTGCTGTTTGCAATCTGACGGCCGTGGAAGACTTGTGTCGTATGCAGAGGCTACGATGGTCCTGGTATTCGTTGGACTTCGTCAAGCTATTGTAGTATTCCGACCTAGAGCTCGGACACTGGGTATCGTCTAGCATGCAGTTTTCTCAAAGCTCGGGGTGCCTTGCTGGTTTGCAATAAGGACCCTACTGTCTCCTGAAACTTACACATAGCATCGCCTGACAGGTGCACGTTCCCATGGTGCAGACCGTGATGAAAGAGATTGAAGTGCCCCAGATTCAGTACGAAGACGAGATCATCCCCATCCCGGTCCAGAAGCAGGCTCGCCATATCCTTGCACATGACGCACAATCGCAAAACCCCAAATCCCACAAACTGTCATCATGAGAACAAGTGATAGTTTTGTCTCGTGGCTATCTGTGTTCTTGTGTGGCTGCTGCTGCTGGTGTGGTTGTTGTTGCTGCTGTTACTGTTCACTATGTAGTAAATTAGTCAATTTGGTCGGTTGGTTGATCATGTCTTTGTTGTTTGTCACTCTGGTTAATGGTGAACATCATTACTGTGAATGCTGCTCTTTGCCCCGAACTCTAAACGTGCTTGCAGGCTTACGGGACTTTCAAAGTACAGCTACAAGTACCTTAGCTGGGGTTACAAGTACTTATAAGTATGAATACCCTATTTACAACCCTAGTTACGAAGTCCCATGATCCTTCAAGCAGACACTAACACGTAAACTCCTAAAGGGAGCCCTATTATGGATCCCCTAACCCCAAACCCAAAGACCCAAAACCCTCCCTAAGACCCTAAACCCTAAACCCTAGGACCCTAAGGTCCTAAAACCCTAAACCCTAAACCCTAAAAACCCTAAAAACCCTAAAACACCTCAAAGCCCCAAAATCCTTCAAACCCCTAAAACCCCTAAAAGCCCGAAAAACTTTAAACACCCCAAAACCACTAAAATCCAGAAAACCCCTAAAATCCCTAAAACACCTAAAATCCCCAAAAGCCCTAAAATCCCTAAATTCTCTAAAGTCCCCAAAATCCCTAAAAGCTTTAAAAGCCCTTAAACCCTGTCAGGTCCAGGTTCCCATGGTGCAGAAGGTGCAGGTCCCTGTGGAGGTCCCGCAGATCCAGTATGAGGACCAGGCTCCGAAAGAACTCCAGGGCTTTAGGGGCTTTAGGGTTTTAGGGCTTTAGGGCTTTAGGGGTTTTAGAGTTTAGGGTTTTAAGGTTTTAGGATTTTAGGGTTTAGGGCTTAGGGGTCAGGGTTTCGGGTTCAGGGCTGAAAGGCTTGTGGCCTAGGGTTCAGGGTTCAGGGTTTAGGGGCTTGATTCAGTGGCAGTGCTGGTGGTGGTAGGAGCACCGGTGCAGCAGCAGTATGAATAGTGATGGCCAAAATGGCTCTGGAACTTTCATGTAAGAGCCTGACGAAGACACCCTGGCCCTATACCACCAATGTATTAGGATCCATACCCTAGCAAAGGCCCAAGGTTTCTTAATCAGGTCCCTATATTTGGTGTGAATCCCTGTGGCAAGGTCATTGTCCGAAGAGATTTCAGTGGCTGCTTCCAGAAGAAATCGAAAAGGTTTCCGTAGTAGCTGAGTAGGTAACCTTAGACCTTCTGGGGCTTATATAACCCCAGCCACACCTCCTAAACTCCGCCTCATCTGTCTATCCTGAGACTTTTTCAACCATGATGGCTGCAAGCCCACACTCCACACCCTGAGCGACAACTGCTAGGATTAGCAGCATCGCTAGCATTCGCCATAAGGGTAGTTCTTTCAAGCAGGGTCCTGTTTTAGGCCCCAAAAATATTATGGCACCCTTATAAACACGGCCCTGAAAGGGATCCTAACTTAGAGAACTACCCTAAGCACACCAAAACCCTACATGACAGGTGGTCCAGGTTCCTGTGCAGAAGCAGGCCGCGGTGGTGTCAGGATCGGTGCTAGACCCCAAGCTAACCTTACGTTTTTAGGATTCCGGGCGTGAGTCCCACATGTTGGCCTGACATCCTAATCTCAGCCCTAAACCCTAAACTCTATCTAGATCGTAAGCCTAAACCCCAACCCTCTGGGGCCTGGGCAGTTCCAAGCTAAGTCTCAGAATTTCAGGTCAAGGGTGCAAGGTTTCCGAAAGACGAGTTTCAGCGGATTTCGCTTTCTTTGTTCATCTTCCTATGCAGCGGGAGATTTTGGTTTGTATCTGGGTTCCTTGTTTTCCGTGCCCTCCACATGAAATAAAGTTTCCTTGGATGGTTGTTGAGTCGTGGTATATGGCATGGAAAAAGACGCAGCCAGGACGTGATGACGATGAAATGATAGTGGTGCTGATGATGATGTAGACTATGCAGAGAATGCTCATGATACTGCAACTGCGGATGATATTGATGAGTCCGATGTGTCGAGTTGCCTAAGCCCTAAACGGTACCCCAAACTGTTTTCAGGCCAACTCGACCGGCCCCAGTCTTATGTTATCCAGCGTTTGAGAGGAAAGCGGCGGTCCTGCAAGACCCTGTGATTGTTCAGGCACCTATACCAGAGGCATCTGCGCGCCTCCAAGTATGCCTTCCCACGTAGAAAAGAATCATGCAAATCTCCGACAAATCCAAGCCCTAAACCCAAGTCCTAACCCCAAGCCCCAAAATTCGGTACGATAAGGGCTTAAATAATTACCAGCACTATTCCGCCCTATTCTAATTACAGAGGCCCCTACTATTAAGCCTTTACAATAACCCTCATTGCAACCCTTCTAACAGCCTGTAAAGCACACCTTCACAGAATTCTATTCCACACATATTCTAAGAGCCTTTTACAGCACCAACTTGAAATAGACTCTATTCCAATCCTTAAGCCCTAGCCCCTAAAGCCTTAAAGCCTAAACCCTAAACCCTAAACCCCAAACCCTGTACCCTAAACCCTATCCTAGCCGTGGCAGGTCCAGGTCCCCATGATCCAGAAGGTGCAGAAGATCGTTGAGGTGCCCCAGATCGAGTACGAGGACATCTTAGGGTTGTAAGGCCTAGGGTTTAAGGGTTAGGGTTTAGGGCTTTAGGGCCTTTAGGGTAGGGGATAGGGTGTTAGGGTAGAAGGTGTAGGGTTTCGAGGACATCCATCTTTTGCTTGCGGAGGATTCTGAAATGAAATTCAGAGGATCCTTGCTGAGAGTGAGAGGCTAGGTTATAAGTCAGAATCCGACGGCTACGTTTCAGCATGTGTGTATCACTCATGTCCTTTACTTGGTGAAACTTCTTTCTGGTGATTTTCGCGTGTAACAGAGTTGAGGAGTCCGTGTACAGAGTGCTGAGATGCTTGTGGTCTGTAAAACCCGACCAAACCTAAATTCTAAACTTAACCCTATACTCTAAGTCGGTTCTTGGAGATTTTGAAGGTCTTCCAGTTCAGGATCAGGCGGTGATATTTGTGATTTCGGGTCATTGGGTTTACGCGTTTCCGTGGCATGGGTTTCAGGGTGCCCGGCCTTGCCTTATACCCATTAGTAGTAGAGGTCCTACTATTGCCATCCTGGCAAGAGGCGATTGACTTAACCTTTTTCAGCACGGGAGGCAGGAATTCAGTGACGATAAAGATGGAGAGGTTGAAGCCTTTTGCAACCTCAGTGCTACATGCTGCAGCTACCAAACCCTCACACCCTCAAATACGGCACCCTGAACCCTACAGCGCCAGAGTTGGGTCTATAAGCCTTTGCCTTCCGAAGGGCTTGATAGCGGTATCACAAGCGCTTGCCCGGTTTTGCTTTGCAGAGTTTTCACACGAGTCTGGGGTATACGAGAGCCTCATACATTCCGTGCGCACAGGCTGCTCATCAAACATCGAGCATCTTCCTGTAGGAACGGGTGCTAGCCCGGCCGACCTACGGCGGACGATTGACCTGCAGACCCAGGGTTTAAGGCCTAGGCGGCGGTTGCCTTTTTTCGGGTTCGGGGTTTAGAGGTTTCTCAAGATACCTACTCGACACCTGAAGAGCTCATTCTTGTCAGGACCAGATCGTGCCCGTCCCTGTGCAGAAGCAGGTGCAGGTGCCCATGATCCAGACCGTTCAGAGGCAGGTCGACGCGATTTTCAGCAAAATTCGGCGTCTGAGGGTTTGGGACTTGGCGGGTGTCTTTTTCATAGTATATTGGAGTATACTATAGTAAACTGGGGTGGCTGTGCTATGACTGATCAACACGACAAGAGGGGGAAACTGCACACATCAGCCGTACTTCTCTGCCCCTTAACTCTAAAACCTTAAACCTCATAAAACCCAGACCCGAACCGCTTCCAAGCGTTTTCTTCCTTGGGTTTGCGTGCCAGGCAGGTGGACGTGCCGCAGCTCCAGTACGAGGACCAGGTTGTCCATGTCCCTGTCCAGAAGCAGGCAGTGACCGCCTAAACCCAAAGCCCTGAACCCTATCGTGACTTTTCAGGCAAGCCGATGCAGTCACTAGCGGTGAGTATCTTTCGGAATAGCTGCCAGGACTCCCAGAGTAGGTTTTGGTCGGATAGAGCAATCACCCCCAAACCCTAAGCGCTAAAACCCACAACCGTACATCCCCAACCCTAAACCCTAAATCCCAAACTCTAGACCCTAAGTGCTAAACCCTAAGCCCTCAATCCCAAACTCTAGACCCTAAGTCCCAAACCCTAAACCCTCAGTCCCAAACCCTAAACCCTCAATCCCAAACCCTAAACCCTCAATCCCAAACCCTAAACCCTCAATCCCAAACCCTAAACCCTAAATCCCGAAACCCGAAACCCAAAATCAGAAATCTTAAACCCTCAACTGGGAGCTCCAGGTGCACGTACCGATGGTCCAGCAGGTGCAGAGGCGATCCTCCTGGTTTAGGGTTTTGGGGCTTCGGGGTTTAGGAGTTTGGGCTTTAGGGGTTCAGGGCTTCGGGGTTTTGGGTTTAGGAGTTTTGGGTTTTTGGGTTCAGGGGCTACGGCTTGGGCTTTAGGGTTCAGGGTCGGGGTTCTGTTACTGTATGAGGGCAGCACCCTAAGCTTAGACTCCAGCCCTGCGCCGTTAACCCTCACTCCTCTGCCCCATTGTAGAACGGAGACCTTAACATTTAGACGGGAGTGTCGGTGGAAATTTTGTGCGAAAAGCTCAATCTACTCAGTCCCTTAATCCCTGAACCCCGCAGCCCTAGACCCTAAACCCTGAACTCCTAAACCTCCTAAACCCTGAACTCCTAAACCTCCTAAACCCTAAACCCCAAACCCTGAACTCCTAAACCCTAAACCTCAGACCCTAAACCCTGAACTCCTAAACCTCCTAAACCCTAAACCCCGACTCCCTCGGATCCTGGAGCTTCGCAGTGAACGCAAGAGACGAGACTTGCTGCAGGCAGGTGGAGGTCCCGCAGATCGAGTATGAGGACCAGGCTTAGTGCTTGCGTTCCAGGGGATGGGATTTAGGACTCACGGCTTAGGCTACTAATCAGGTAAACCCCAAACCCTACACCCCGATTGCACCCTGACATCTAAAACCTTTTGTTTAGGACATACTGTTTGGGATCTGGGCTTATTGCCACGAGTCAGTCAATGTCGTTGGTTTAGCCCTGGTACAAGCCCCAGCATGCTCTACTCAAGCCTAGCACGTGCTCTTTTGAATAACCCCTGAAGCCATGTAATCTTTTGTGCCGAAGTTAGATGAATGCATGCTTTCGCACAGTTTCCTTCGAATCAAAGCATAGCAGTTTGGGTTTTGACGCAGTTTCTTGCTTCTCTATTTTCAACGTGCATCTTGCACTTCCGGCTGTTGGGCCTTTCTGGTTCTCAGTCCTTGCTGTCCCGAAGTGTAGATTGTGCAGGTTTGGAAGGTGCTTCTGTTGGGTGCGTGCGCTGACCGGAGGATGTGCGTGTCGGAGCTATGCATTCTACTGCCCTTCCAGCTTTGTTTTCAGCATTTTCTCAGGTAGAGTTCAGCTTATTCATCTGATGCCTAAGGCGTCTCCATGCGGGAGTGGGGGTTCAGCAGCATCGTCATACTCTTAACAACCCATGTGGAAGTTTTTTTTTTTAACATTGGTGCTTCCTTATCTAGATCTCCTTAAATAAAACAAGGGTACTACTTCTTAGGATTCTGTATTAAGGCCTCTATTTTCCAGATGTGAGAATACCGTAACGGCCGCAATGATAACTAGTATGCTGTTCTCTGTTTGTGTAGCTGCACGAGGGGTATACCCCCGAAACCCCTTCTGCTTGTCCGGGCCCGTACAGCCCTACAGGAATCATGCACAGCCCCTGTAACAAACACCCTGCCTACGAGACCCTCGAAACTGTGGAATAGTGTTGTCGGTCCCGAAACCAAAACCGTACACCACCGTGTAGACAAGCTTAAACCACAGGTTGAAAGCAGAGTGTCAAGACCCTGGATAAAAAACCCTAAACCCTAAACCCTAAATCCTAAACCCTAAACCCTAAACCCTAAACCCTAAACCCTAAACCCTAAACCCTAAAGGTTCGGCAGCTTGTTGTGGAATCAGGCTTTGTCTGCGGCTTGCCCTTTCTCTTCAGAGGGCTTTTGATAACGGATTGACCAACCTTGTAGAAAGCCAGGGTTGAGCGGCTTATGACATGCCGAGAGGCTCATGGGAAGTAGTTACGGCAGAAGTCATGCAAGCTAATGGTATACTTACTCGTAGTGGCCCAATCAGTTAAATTTTTCTAGTACCGGTATACAGTGCTGGAGCAGGTGGTGCAGATCCCCATCCAGAAGCAGGCGCGACAAGATTGCCGAACCGCAGCAGCAAGCAGCTCTGCATCTAGTGTTTAGAATTATGAGACTGTACATGCTTTCTTCTATAATCTTTCTCCATAGGTCGCAACAAGTTTGTAAGTTGTAATAACTTGTAATACTACAAATATTGGCACCAACAACAGCATGTGTTACGATGAGAGTGATTACTGTGCCACGCTCATGTCACACTCAAGAGAACGGCTGGTGACCCAGAGTTTCAGGCCGCCAACGGTAATCGCACACTGGGGATGCCCTGGAAAAACACCCGAACTGCCTGAAAACAGAAGCCTTCGAGGCCAAAACGCATAAACCCCGAAAGCCCCGAACTTAGGGCCCACAAATTGGGTACTGGGTTTAGGTTTCAGGGTTTAGGGTTTAGGAGAGTAGTTCTCTGGGTTATCCAACCCCACACGCAGGTGCACGTACCGCAGATACAGACGATCCAGAAGACAGTGGAGGTGCCCCAACTCGAGCAGCCTCGCTGCAAAGGTTTTGGGGTTTATGGGCTGGGATTGCAAGGGCGAACAAAGGGGCACTGGTACTTGGAGTGGGTTTTTTTGGGTATAGACTGTGGTATAATTTATCAGAAGTATTTAATTGCAATAAGGAGCCCTCATAGCAATAGTATTCAAGCTTCTACATCTAAACCTTAACTATGAAGAATGAATGAAGGTTGCCTCTGAAGCATGGCAGTTGCCATCTCCGAGACCTTCTCTGATATTCAGGATAACAAGATGGACCTCACGATGCCATACTATACAACTAGTGTTTATTATATGAGTCCTGCTACCTTAAGGACCCTAAACGATGGGAATTATGGTATATTCCAAAGTTTGGGTGGTGCAGCGTTTATATCATCAATCGAACGTGGACAAGCTTTACACGCATGCATGTGGTTTAGAGTTTGCCAACGCACTGAGGTTCGTTGACAAGGTGGTGCAAGTGCCAGTGGAGAAGGCGGTGCACGTTCCGATGGTGCAGACGGCAGCTAGGCTGCAAACTCTGTTTGGCCATCCAGCCTAAACCCTACGCCCAAAACCTAAAACCCTAAACTTATCCTCAACCCAAACCACGAGGCTTAAACCTTCACTTCGCGAGGTGCACAGGGAAGTCGAGGTTCCGCAGATTGAGTACATCGATGCTTGGTGCAGAATACAGACGGAGCTTTGTGGTTTAATTTCTTTGACTTTCAGGTTTCCAGGCTTTAGAGTCCTAGATTTTTTAGGCTTCTGGGTTTTGAGGTTCTATGGTTTGCTGCTCTATGTACTTTTTTTGTCTGTCTACCATCAAGTATTTTGTAGTTCTTCATGCCGTCGGTCCATAAGCAGGGCTGCTTATGATTACTACTGTTGATGATACAAATCCTGCATTACCTTAAGGACCCTGAACTATGGGAACTATGGTATATTCCTTATTGTGGGTAATACAGGATTTCTATCATCAACTGTATGATGGCCAGTTCCACAGTACAGTTGTATTAGCTGCAAAGCTGTAAGACATGCCTCATGACCCTAAACCCTAGACCTTGAACCCTATACCCTACACCGTCCGTGCTCCAGCTGGTGTCCCGCTTTGATATGGTTGACATCATCAACGCAGAAGCTTGAATGATTACCCATGCCGTCCCAAAGTCTCCTTAATAGAAATACCTATATATATATATAACATACACCGAAACCCCATTCGGATTATTAGGGCCCTTGGATGACCCTCTAAGGTAATTCCGTCATTCTCTGCCCCTGCTTGAAGACGCTAAATGCACCGGGTCTAGGTCTCGGCGGTTCATGATCTACAGTGGTTCAGGGTTTCGGGTTTGTGGGTTAGGGCCGGAGGTTCAGGGTTGATTTAGGGTTTTGGGTCTAGAGTTTCTCAAACCCCACGGGCAACTCTAAACCCTGAACTCCTAAACTCCTAAACCCTAAACCCCAAACCCTGAAATCCTAAACCGCCCTCAGGACAACCATGTACACATCCCTAAACCCTAAACCCTAAACCCTGAACTCCTAAACCCTACACTCTACACCCTCAGGACAACCATGTGCACATCCCGGTGCAGAAGCACCGCCACGTGCCAATTCACATTCCCGTGGAGCGGCCTGTGGAGGCCGCTGAGAGGGTTTTTTGGGCTTGGGGTTTCGGGTTTAGGGTTTTGGGGTTTTGGGGTTTAGGGGTTTAGGGGTTTAGGGTTTAGGGGTTTAGGGTTTAGGGTTTAGGGCTTAGGGTGTTGGTTTAGGGTTTTTTGGGCTTAGGGTTCAAGAAGGGTTTGGGATCGCGGGATATTGAGCTTTTTGTTTTTATAGAACTAGGGTTGGCTGCCAGCCTGTTTGCCGTTTTTTGTTTGGGTTGCTCTCTGGTATGCGTGCGTGGCATACAGAGTATACGAAAACGGCAGATGCACGTACCTCCACATGCCGCAGCTTGCAGGTGATTGGCTTTTTGGGATTTTGTCTTCATTCCTTTGGGGGGCAGGTTTGAACTCGACAGGGAGTCCTTCACTGGCTTCGTGAAGAACTTGACGTGTTTGTGATTACCCTAACATGCTCGAGTTCGGCAGAGATTCATCCTTTCTCATATCGTAGTACGGATGTCGCCATTCCCTGCATCAATAGCAGAAAGACGCACACCACGGCCAGAAGCCCTAAGTCTGTCTTTGGCCGCGGCGCGTTAGGGGTTAACGTTTATCAATGTCGATCACTATTGAAGTCGGACTTCTCAGTGGCAAGACAGTGACCTTGACAGCAGCTTTGGAAGAAGGTGTTGGAGCACTCCAATTTCGAGCGCAGACCGCGCTTGGAGTCGGAAATGGGCGCCTGGTGGACTCATCTGGAAACGTTCTGGATGCAGGTGCACGGATCAAGGATGCTAGAGTGCAGAATGGTGCTGCACTGACCCTGCACATAAATCCAGTTCAGGTGCAAGCTTCCAAACTCGCTTTTGCGGCCATTCTGGGCGATGGATCTGTGGTTACATGGGGTGCTGCTTTCTGCGGTGGCGATAGTAGTTCTGTACAAGAGCAGCTGACAAATGTCGAGAAGATCCAAGCCTCCGGCTATGCTTTTGCTGCCATTCGCGGCGATGGATCTGTCGTGACATGGGGCATGGCCGTCCGTGGTGGTGACAGTAGTGCTGTACAGGATCACTTGAAGCAGGTGCAACAGATCCATGCCTCTGATGGTGCTTTTGCCGCCGTTCGTTGTGACGGGTCGGTCGTGACCTGGGGTCACGTTGACTTTGGTGGTTGCAGCAGTGCTGTGCAGGATCAGCTGAGCAATGTGCAGCAGATCCAAGCCAATGGCTGCGCTTTTGCTGCCATTCTTGGCAATGGATCATTCACGACTTGGGGTGATGCTGACTACGGAGGTGACAGTAGCACTGTCTTGCAGCAGATGAAACATGTGAGGCAGATCCAGTCATCTAGCAGCGCTTGTGCTGCCATTCTTGATGATGGGACTGTCATAACCTGGGGTGATGAAGAACTTGGTGGTGACAGCAGCGCTGTACAGAGTCAGCTGAGGAATGTGCAGCAGATCCAGGCCTCGGGTAATGCATTTGCTGCCATAATTAGTGACGGATCCGTCGTGAGCTGGGGTCATCCTCTCTATGGTGGTGACAGTAGTGGCGTACAGGATCAGCTAACCGACGTGCAGCAGATCCAGGCCTCTGACGGTGCCTTTGCTGCTATTCGGTGCAATGGATCCGTCGTGACCTGGGGCAATGTAAATGACCCTGGGGTGCAGCAGCAACTGACGAATGTGAGGCAGATCCAGGCCTCTGACAACGCTTTTGCTGCCATTCGCGGCGATGGCTCTGTCATTGCCTGGGGTCATGCTCGCTATGGTGGTGACAGCAGTGCTGTGCAGGATCAGCTTAAGGATGTTCAGCAGATCCAAGCCTCTCGCAGTGCTTTTGCTGCCATTCTTGGCGACGGGCGTGTCGTGACCTGGGGTCGTGCTGGCAGTGGTGGTGACAGCAGTGCCGTGCAGGAGCAGTTGAAGACTGTGTGGCAGATCCAGGCCTCTGACAGTGCTTTTGCTGCCATCTGTTGCGACGGATTTGTGGTGACCTGGGGCGATACTGAAGGTCGACTGAAGCCGGTGTAGCAGCGCAAGCAAGAGGTGTGCTGCCGTTCTACCAGCACTTTTTGTCGAACTTGAGCAGCACATCAACCAATGAGCGCAGACATCTCAATATCCCAAACCAAAGCAAGCGTGGTCCTGCTAAGAGCCGGGAACCAACCGAACGACCATCCTAGTCTTCAGTCTGTCATCTTCTCGTGGTGTGGTTTCTCTTAGCGAAATACAGAAATGCAGAAGCAAGGCACCGCCTAAGAAACCCTCTGAACTGCCTTATCAAATGCCGATAGGAAACCCTCGCCTCTAGATGTCTACCACTTCAGAAAACATGTCTAAAGCTGCGATAGAACCCTTCTGGCTGCTTCTCGTGGCCCAATAACCTAAACCCTAAACCCAATAAAGTCCGTATAGAACTCTTTCAGCTTTTTTTCGTGGCAGTCTGGAAGTTTGAGCCGGCTGCCATTATCAGAGCCTATGTGGTTGGGGTTTCCTGAATGGAATCGGAACTCGTTTCCTCAACCCAGGAAACCTAGACTTCGAGACATGCTGCTGGCCTAGGCTGCTTGAAACCAAGCCGATACCGAACACTCCAACCGACCTCATCTGTCACTCAAAGTCTAAAACGCTAAACCCAAAGCCCCTAAACCCTAAAGCCAAATCTTAAACCGTAATCCCTAATCCTAAACCCTAAACCCAAACCCAAAACCCTAAATCCTAAACCCTACCCCCTGAATCCTAAACCCAAACCCTAAAGCCGCTGCATGCATCCCTCGTTCCATCAGCCCCGGACCCAAAACCCGACGCCACCACTTAACATAGGGGCCGAAATACTGTAGTTACCAATGCCTTTCGGGCTCCGTGCTACAATCAAAGAAGATTATACCTCAAAACCTTGTTCCAATCATTAAGGCAGTCAGGCCCCTGAATTAGCCTGGGTGTGTGGTGTGAACACTTACATGCACACGCGTGATTTGCACAAACATGTACATGTGCATATGCATATGCTAATGCGCAGGCATCACCAACAGGTTTTTGTATTTGCATGCAAACATGATTTGCATCTGCTGCAAGTCAGACTGACATGCATAGATGCCTACCTACCTGCCTGCCTGCCTGCCTGCCTACCTACCTACCTGCCTACCGAAGCAAGCCAAATTCAAGCTACATGCAGATGTACATTAATACGAACATACATTCATACGGACATGCATTCATATGGGCCCTGGAAAGCATGGCGCGGGCTGCTTCCCTCGAAGCCTAAACGCTCAAGACCCGGAAGCCCCTGGCTTATTCAAACTTCTTTACCCTAAAGCCTGCAGAGAGTTCGGCTAAACCCGAAACCCTAAACCCCATATACCACCCTAAACCCTAAACCCCATAGAACACCCGAATTAAACCCTAAACCCCACCCTAAAGCCTAAACCCCCACCCTGCAGGTCACCGTCATTCAAGCCATGGAGCACCCTAAAAGCCCCCGGTCCCTTCGCTGCAGGTCACCGTCATTGAGACCATGGAGAAGGTCGTGGAGGTGCCGATCGTGAAGCAGGTCGAAGTCCCGCAGGCAGGGGAAGCCGGGTTTAGGGCTTTAGGGTTTAAGGTTTAGGGTTGAGGGTTTAGGGCTTTAGGGTTTAGGGCTTTAGGGTTGAGGGTTTAGGGTTCTAGGGTTTTCAGTTTTCAACATTTGGGCGTTTTGGGGTTTAAGGCTTTATGGGGTTCAGGGTCTGGGGCTTTTGGTTCGGTTTCGCGGTGTCTTAGATCATACTTTCCGGATCCCAGCGGTCTTATATCAGTTTGAGTTTCGAGTTCATGGTTCCTTACGCACTACTTCCGGTGTCCTTTCTCACGCTAAGTTTCGGGTTTTGGTTTCCGTCAGGCATAAGTTAGTGGGCCCGAAGCCCACTACGGCTTCAAAGGCTGCGAGTTGATGGTGTAGGTTCAGCGTTGTGGGATTCTTGCTATCTCTGTTGCGACTATTACCTGGACTCAAAACAACTTACCTTTTTGTTAAGGATGTATATCACGAAATCATAGTAAGAAGGAGCCCTCAAGAAGGTGCTTCAGGGCCCAGGTGTTCCTACCAGGCAGTCGTGGGTCCCAAGGTTCGCTATGTGCCCATGCTTTGCGTCTGAGAGTTCTGTAGAAAGAAGAACTTCGCAATCCCTCCCAAAACCCCGTACTAAGAGCCCTAGCCGGTTTACGTCCTGAGTCCTAAAGCTTGAGGGGCCTAAATAATTACCAGTACTATTTTGGGTTTCCTTATTATAATCAAAGTATACTGGGCCCCAAAACCCTATTCCAATTATGAAGGCCCCTGTATTAAAGCCTATCCCAAATCCTCGGCCAGGTCCCTCGAACCCCACCCACACCAGGAAGCCAGTGCCTGAACATAAATTCATAAAGCTCTCCTGGAAAAGGAAGCCTCTAGACAGTCTTAAAGAGGCCTGTAATATCCGAAAACAAACCTTAGCCCTAAGCCCCTCTCCCTACTATGGCCTTAATCCTAAATTCAAAGCCTTAAGCTTTCTGGCGCCTACGCTCTGCACCCTCAACCCGAAAGCCCTAAAGCCTAACTAACAAGGCCGGCGTCCTCAACCCGAAAGCCCTAAACTCCTTCCCTCGACCCACACCCACCCCTCCAAGCCCTTCAACACTTAGGGGCTGAGTAGGTGGCCTTTAACCTTTCGGTTTTTTGGTCTAACCCTACTATAACTTAAAAGACGAACCATTTTTGTGTTGGGATTTTTAGAACCCTACTATAGCTCAAAAGGTTAGCCTTTCTTGGGTTAGGGCCCTAAACCCCAAACCCTAAATAACCCCCTCAGAAAAGGTCCAGACCATCGAGAAGATCGTGGAAGTTCCGATGGTCCCAGCCTTGGAAGGTCTTGGGTTCTAGGCTTCAGGGCTCTGTAGGGCTTT